GATTGACTTAGTGCAGCATCAGCAAAGCAGGAGGGTCCAGCAATGCAAATAATTGACCACAATGGCTAAGGCCAGGACTGCACATCACAAATGAAAACATCCAAGAAGGACTAGTGATCCATCCATGTTAGGAGCCTACCCAGAGGAAAACCCTCAGGGGGTCGAAAAGTGTAAGAAGCCTGATTAGGGCACAAGATGTCACAGTTCCAGAAAGAGGTGATACTGTTACCTCACGGAGGAGAAAATTGTTCTTCAGTTACTCATTCGTGTGCAGGGTGAGAAAAACAGAGCCTTTCTGCTGCCTGCAGCATTGAGCAAAGACTCCAATCAGATGTGGAACATAAGTGCTGTCTGATCTTGCCTTTCTCCCTTGTGCCCTAATGTCAGCTGACATTTTTTCTGCCAGTGCATACATGGAGATTCCTAAAGGAAGAGAAAGAAAAGTTGAGTTGCATCCAAACTAGAACTGTAAAGTTGTTTATCTTGACAGAAACCAAAGAGGATGACAGGATGCTTTGGAAAGCCATTGAAACTTTCTGAGGAGACCAATTGATTTTGAGTGTAGCTATACAAAGATATAGAGGCATTCACAGAAAACCATCAGCTCCATATTGTGAAATCTAGGACCAGACCATTTAGTGTTGATGGATACATATCAGAGAAATGTGAGAAACACTGTGACAATATCAAGGTACTGCAGACAAAGTCATGCTCTTGAGAAACGTAGTCTAGATGGAGAGGTGGAGCAAACAAATAAAAAAGAAGTCTTAGGGGCTCAATACTGAAATATATGCAAACCACTCAAAGGGAATAAGGACACACTGCATTTTACAGCAGAAGGAGGAGACCGTTTCAGATAATTGTGGATATTACAAGGCATTGTGGAGTGGAGGCTTCTTAAGAACTGGGAAGCCATGTCAAAGGAGGGAAAAGGGAGAAAATAGGTGGAGAAGCAGATGGATGTTAACAAAGAAAAAGGTCACATTGGAGCCTTGGTTCTCAAAGTGTTTACTGACCCTTGAGAGTTTCTGACACCCTTTCAGTGGGTCCGTGAGGCCAAAACTATTTTGATAATACTACTAAAATATTATTTGCCCTTTTAAAATTGTGTTGAAAAACATGTAACATAAAATTTACAATCTTAATCATTTTTAAATGTACCGTTCAGTAGTATTAAGTATACTCGCATTGTTATGCAGCCAATCTCCAGAACTTTTCATCTTGCAATTGGGAAACTACACCCACTAAACAACAGCTTCCCCTTTCCCTCCCCAACCAGCCCCCCTGGTAACCACTATTTTATTTTCTGTTTCTATGAATTTGACTACTTTAACACACCTCACAGAAGTGGAATCATACAGAATTTGTCTTTGTGACTGGCTTATTTCGCTTAATGTAAAATCCTGAGGATTCATCCATGTGGTAGCATGTAACAGGATTTCATATGCTTAATGCTGAGTAATAGTCCACTGCATGTATAGACCACGGTTAGTTTATCATTCATCTGCCAGTGGACATTTGAGTTGTTTCTACCTCTTGGCTATTGTGATGTTACTTGGCCTTTTCACTGAGTTGACACAGTGGTGATGTAAAAGCAGTGGTGGGTAAAACTGCTGGTGCCTTAGCACAAATCAAGGTAGAGGTACCAGATTGTACTAGTAGTTATGTAGTCTCCCCTGCCACACGACTGCAATGGGGGAAAATGTTTAGTTCCAGTTAAGAATATCTTGTCAATGTTTTGTATGACACAATGGGAGATAAGCATTAAGCATTTCTGTTGCATACTGAAGTGGTCTCGAGGAAAAGCACTTAGCCGTTGTTTGAGTTAGGAGCTAAACCTAGCTGCTTTTGTCATGGAATACTGTTTTTACTTGAAAGAACGATTGCCAGAAAAACTGTTCTTCAGACTTGGGTATTTCATAGACATTTCCTTGCAAATGAATGAAGTAAAAAAGCCTGTCATTTTAAGGAAAACAGCTGTTGGTATTTATTGCCAATGATAAGATTTGAGCTTTCAAGTGAAAATCAGAAGTTTGGAGAATTTGTATCTGCCACTGTGAGTTTGCTAGTTTCCCAATACTTAAAAGACATTTTTGCCAAGATTGGTAGTGATATTAATGAATATGTTTTTTTTAATATTGTCTGTTGAAATGTGTGAACATTAGTAAGATTTGCATAGTTCAGTGAACCAGTATTTTTCAATATATGATATTACAAAATCATGCATGAGTAAAAGCCATTCAAAGTGCAAGAAAGATCAATGGATTTTAACGTTACAGAGTATGGAAAGTTCTTAGATAGGGTTTTAGGTTCCACATTGCAACTAATCTTTAAAAAACTCTACTTGTTGAATTTTAGTGCAGCATCAAAGAAGAATATTCATAATGACATAAAAAGGCTATTGAAATATCTGTCCCTTTTCCAACAACATGTCTGTGTGCAGCTGGGTTTCCTTCATATACTTCAACCAAAATGGCGTATCATAACAAATTGAATACAGAAGCAAATACGAGGATTTAGTTGTCTTCTATTAATCAGACACTAGAGAGATGTGCAAAACTGTAAACAGCATTCTTTTTTGTTTTAGAAAATATAGTCATTTTTCATAAAATATGTTAATATGTAATGAGTTTGTTATTGTTGTATCTAAATGAATAAATACTTAAAATTTTTCTGTTTTACTTTCTCATATGGTAAATATAGATAGATGTAACCCATGTACACTAATTTTTTTAAAGAATTTTTAAGAATATGAAGGGATCCTGAGCCCCAAAAGTTTACGAACCAATGTCCTAGAGAAAAGTTATTCATTAAGCATGAGGGGATGGAATCCGCCATGCCTGAGCGAAGAAGGGGTGGTATTCAGAGAAGAGAAGCAGAGAAAATCTGTGAAACATTGAAGTTCAAAGATTACTACGATGGGAAACAAAAAGTCACTTTGAGCTGGAGATGGATTGTCTGGCCTATTTCTTTTCTATCTGTGGTATCTTGGCGAGGTCAGTTTTTTGCAAGAGCTCTGTAACAAACCCAGATGTCTGCCCAGCTTTCTTGTGACAGAAGTGAGCTGTTACAGGCTGATTGGTGGGTTGTGAGCCCAGTTCAGCCCAGCAATTTGATTAGCATGGGAAAGAATGTGGGGGAAATGGAATCTTTAAAACTGTGAACTTTCTAGTGTGTAACAGATTTTTACCACCTGTTTCATTTCCCATAACTCGCTCTCATGTGAAACCCAGAATAAGTTCTACCTGACCCTATCCTGTGCAATAATTTACAGCATTATCGTGCAGCTCAAATATTCTCTTTTTTTAAAAAATGCATTTTGTATTGTAGAATAGGAAAGGTACTCCGCTCTACGTTTTTATTTTAGAAGTTTCTACATGTTCTTCTTTTTAACACGTTTGCTTTTTTCTGTCCAAAGTAAGGAGCTTTGTGGTCTATACAGCAATGTGAACTCCCCAGTAAACACAGGTTAACTGTCCTGAGGGGCTTGACACGGGGCTGAGTGTTCTGATCAGAGGTGGATATACTAGGATAAAGGACCCTCACTTGCATGGGCCCCTTGTGTAGTTGTCATGTTGAGTCTTTTCTTAAAAAGACACCCCCTCAACTTGTATTAGCTTCAGGCTTCACAAAACCTAGTTATGAGGAGTTCTGTGTAAGGGTCTTGGGGATCTAGGAGTTACCTCTAAAGACAGTGTTGGATGAATAAGGGAGTTTAGCTATAACACTTGAAAAAATCCACAGCGTTGCTTTCAGGGCATTTATTTATTAGCTCAGCCATGGTAATGCTTATTCAAATTTGAAAGAATTTAGAAGACAAAATTTTAATCTGTCTACCATGCAGTGTGTATTCTTAGCACCAAGAAAGAGCTCTTCTTTTCTGTATACTCAGCTAAAAGCTGTTCTCACTTGGGCTCTTCTTCAAGTGAAGCCTTTGAAGAGAGGAGTCAATGATATTTGTGCTTTTCAGACCCTCAGGCTCTGAGGGAACTTTAATATTAATTAAAGCCTCAGTGCTCGGAAGCATCTACCAACTCTTAGCCTTCTTTTCTTCCTGGACTTTCCAGCCCTTTTCTCCAGAGGGTTGGCTGCTAGTTGCTCTCCCAATAATTACGTAACTTGCCAAGGCCACGCAGCATAGAAAGTGCTAGAGCTGAGACTCAAACCTTGGTGTTTGATGGTAACATCTTTCCTTGTTTCATCTTCCTGCTGTCAGTTAGATATCTTGGAATGAGAATCTGAGAAAATCTCAACAAAAAATACTGTCTTAGGGCCTAGAAGCTTTTTAAAAAATTTGTTTGTTTTAACAGTATAATGTTTTATTTTTTAAACTAGGTGTTAGGTACACAGGCATTGTTTTATTATTATTCTTCACCGCACTATGCAAATTTTATGAACATTTTTTTTCTAGCTACAAAATTTTTAAGAGAGTGTAGAAAAGAATAATTATTGTTTTTATGAAATACATTTTTTATCATTACAATTCTAGCAATACAAAGTGCAAAGCAAAAAGCCCCATAAAAATATCACCAACCAGAAACACACATCATTCCGTAGTATTCTTTATATTTATATACAGAAAGGATAAATAGATAGGTAGAAAATTATTAGGATTGTTTTAGTTATTTAGTGTGTATAACAAACCTCCCCAAAAGTTAGTGGCTTAAAACAACAAAAACTAGGTGTTTACCCAGGCTTAGAAACTCTTTCATGCTTGGTAAAAGATTTGTTACCCCAGCGAGTTTCAGAACTGGAAACCAAACACAGAGGAGTCTTTTAGTTATTTAATTTTAATGGCCTATAGGCAAACAGACCAGCAGTTGCCTCATATACATCAGTACATATGGTCAACACTGTTTCATTCCTTTGTTAGGACATGGAGTCCCATGTGCCTGGCACATGGAAACACTTAATGAAGACACATGAACAAATGAATTAAATGGTGGTGCCTTTTGTGGATCCGGCCTCTTAACACCGATTTCTCTTTTTGCCCGGCTTAGGTATTTGGCTCGAGTTGGGGATCTTGAAGCTACTGACACTGAAGACCCGAATCTAAATTATGGACTTGTTGTGGACTGTGGCAGCAGTGGCTCCCGGATTTTTGTTTATTTCTGGCCAAGACATAATGGGAATCCCCATGACTTGCTAGATATCAAACAGATGAGAGATCGCAACAGCCAACCAGTGGTTAAAAAAATCAAGCCAGGTACTAACTGGAATGTATTTCACTGTTGATCTCTTTTTATCAGCTACAGGCATATGAGAGAGGAGAGAAGGGCGAGAAAACAAGCTCCCCCCTTTCTCTTGAGACGCTGGATAATGGGAGCGGTATCTCTCTCACTGCCTCCCCATCTCCTCTCAAATGAATGGTTAAGCAGAAGCTTAAGGGGCATCAGTCTTCTGAGTCTATGTGATCTGCTTTGTAAAGGAAGTCTTTTGTCTTACTTAAGGAATCTCTGCGATGGCGGACACCCCGGAGCACGCCAGCGATTACCTCCGTCCTCTGCTGAGCTTTGCTGCTGCTCACGTGCCTGTAAAGAAGCACAAGGAGACCCCCCTTTACATCCTGTGCACAGCGGGCATGAGGCTTCTTCCCGAGAGGTGAGATGCAGCGCCCGAGAAACGGGAAAACGGGGGGCACAGGACTGGAAAGGCTGATTCCACGTGTTGCCCTGTGTGGTCCCCTGGTCCGAAGGTGGGATGTGGGTGCAGCACACAGAGTTGACAGGTGGCACAAAAGGCTCCTTGCTCAAACACAGAGCAGAGCGACTGGTGCCCCCAATAACTGCACAATCAGTTGTTCACACTTTTGTGTCCTTTGCTTGTTTGGGATCCATATCTGTCTGAGAGGGCCGTAATGGTTCTTAGTTTTGATGGAGGGTTAGGAGCAGTGGTGATGATGTTAAATTTGAATCATGAGGCACCTACAAGGGGAGCATAATGACAGAACAGTAGGAGGAGGGTCACCTGAGGGCCTGGGTACCTCGGGACCAGTATGAGGGCTCTGGTAGGAATGCTACTTTCTCTGTAACTGCCTGGCACCCTGGGGATAGTTGGTGCTACTTACAAAGCTCAGGCTCCAGAGCTTTGGACAAGTTTTCTCAGCCCCAGCCAGTCAAGCCTTTTCTACTTGACCTTGGTAGTTTCACCTGGCATCTTGCCACTTGATCCCTCTTCCCTCATTGGAAGAAGAGGAGGAGGAGAAAGAAGAAGAAGAGGAAGCAGCTATACTTACATCAGCCCCTGCTTGTTTGTGATATCTCCCCTTTGACCACCTACCCAACCCCTCCACGCTTATTACGGTCACGGGGTGGGAGTGAGCGCCCTTAACTTTAGAATCCATCCTTCTAGAATGTTCATAGTCTCTTAGACATCAGATATTTTTTATTAGTGTAAATATTCTTCCATGGTAAATAGGAGTTTCCTTTTCCACAAAAGTTTTATTTTGTATGCTTGGCAACAAAAACCTCAGCCATGCATATAGGACTCCATGCTGCTTGTGCCAGACATGCCAGACAATGTAACACGTCAGTACTTCTCTCCATGGACTTCTTTCCTTCTGTTTAGACGCACGGTTACTGGTTTCCTATCTGGTTTGCTGTTGAGAAGCAGGTTATTTTACATAGACATGGGAGGCCTTCTATCTTTTTATTTCCCCATATATCTTGGTCTTTAAAAAATATTTATTGTATTTTTACTTATTTTTAAAACCAAACTTTAAAATATTATACTTGCCACCTTACATCATTACAGGAAATCATAAAAGTTAAAAACAAAAACCAAACCAAAAGCACTCATAATCCTACTACCCAATCAAAACTTTCATTTTGTCACATTCTCTTCTCTCTGGGCATCTGTGTTTAATTTCTACAAAGTTGTAATCATACCGCGCATGTGATTTAGGATTTTTTGTTTCTGACATAAGTAATATTCATATCGTCCAAAATTTTTGAAACCCTGGGAAGAATATAGATGACACAGGTGGTACCACATCACAAGTCTGTGAATAGCCTGAGGTCTCACAGCCAAGGAGGCGGGCAGGAGGGCCAGAGAAAAGGCTGACTCAAGTCAAAAATCAGAGTCAACTATGAGGGCGATGGTTTGGCCATGTTTTGGAGCCAAGGAGGGGATTGCCTCATCTGGCACTGCTCAGCATTGCCTCTGTTTGTCAAAGAAGTTTCTGTCCAAACAAAGCCCACTATGTAGCTCTACCCCATTTGTCTAAAATGTTCACTGTCAGCGAGGAAGCTCTGAATATTAATACTTATTTTATCTTAAGAATTTTTACAGAACTCGCCTTTTAACTTGTTTTCTGATCACCTCTCTTAATAAAGCCTATGTCTTTCCTGGGCTTATGAAATCATTGCTACCTCTAAGGCAGCTATAATTGTTGACGTAAGTGTAACTATCACTGCAAGAACCTGTTTTGCATAGTTAATGCTTTGATAATTTATTAGCATTTGTGAGCAGTATTCAAAATGGCTTTGAATCACCTGGACTCTATTTTGAATTTATTGGCTCTAGGTTTTATTTTTTGCCAAAGGCTTGGAGTAACAGAATTTGTTCTACATCTTTTTTATTTTGGAATGGAAAAACTCTTTAAAAATTATAGGTAATATATTACAAGGTGATATTTAAGGAAAAAAACTTTTTAATTATGGGAAATTTCAAACTTATGTAAAAGTAGAGAGAACAGTGTAATGAATCCCCTTTTGCCCACCACCGAGCTTCAACAGTTATCAACGTTTTGCCATTAAAAGTTTTTAAAAAAATTATTGAATTTTAGAAAATGAAAGTTATATTCTGTCCTATGCAGTACATGAAGAGTGGTTTGTTTTTTAAAAATATATATTGAGATCATGTTGTACATTGTTTTATAGTAGAGCTCAAAATATATTGGACAATTTTTCATGTCAATGCATGCAGATAAAAATTGACCTCATTTCTTTTAACATCTGTCTAATATAACATTGTATGATTATACCATAAGTTATTTAACCGATTCCTATTTGTGTACATTTACGTTATTTCCAGTTTTTCATTGTTATACATAATGCTGCAGTATTATTCCTCTTTGTATTTTTATCTGATGATTTCCTTGTATTAAATTTCTAAAAGTGTACCAGGCAGATCAAAGATTAAGCCTATTGAAAATTTTGGTACATAGTCCTGGATTGCCCGTTAGAGAGGTGTATCAGTAATTTACATTCCAGACAGCAGTGTACGTTGGTGCCCATTCTTCCATATCATCCCTGAAGTCAGCAAGCCCTCTTCTTCGGGTAGTTAAGAAGCATATTCAGTAGGGATGGTAAAATAGCTCCTCTTGCTCCCCATGTGAAATTCCTGTTGCATGAATGTAATATGTAGAACAGTGGATTTTTTAGAAACTGGACTTGACATTATGTTGGAAGATTATTACATTAAGTGTAACTCTTCACTTTTAAGTGCCAACAATATTCTCACTAAGTCATGCTGACAACTGTCTGAGCCAGTAGAATATTTTTGTAATGAGTAATTTTAAAAAATCCAAGATAATTGGTCTTATTTTTAACCAACATTTTCTCTAGATTCATATTATTACTTCTAGCTTCATTGCTTTGCTTTTCTTTGGTAATACCGATAGCACAAAAGTTTAGAGGGAAAAACAGCCCTACAGATGCTAAGTTCCAAATGTTATTCCCAAATTGTTGTTTTGACCTTTGGATTTTGATCCTGATTTGGGGTTTCAAATGATAAGATTTTTATAAAGAAAAAAATTAAGTCCTTGAAATTATGGAAAGGGAGATTTAAAAGTTAATTGTAAGCTTATGTAAAGGGTTATGTAAAAACCTGTGGCCCTAACTGCTTTTTGTGTGGTGAAATGAGGCCCTGCTTCTGTATTGAGTACGATCGGAGGATAAGATTGTGTTCCTCAATTTAACAGTTTTCTTTCACAGTAATTAGGAATAATGCAGTTACATCTATTTTACAGATTATGAAACTGTGCTTCAGTTTCCTGGGGCTTCTTTCCACTCAGCCTATGAAAGGGATAGAATTACAGTCTCATCTTTTAACACTATTTGAATTTTAACATATAAAGGAAAAGTATTACTATTACCATATTGCCTTTTAAGTAGGAGGCTATGTTTTGGAGGCAGTTGAAACCTTTGAAATCAAAGGAGATACCAAAGGGAAGCAGAACTCGACAAGGAATGGGGTGGGGAACAGTGAGCTCACAACAAGGCTGAGTAAGAAGGTCAAGTTGAGGTTGTTTGTGAGAAGAGAGTTTAAGGATTAACGTTTGGATTTTTTGTTCTTTCTTGCAGAAAGCAGTTGGCTATCTTGGCTGATCTAGTGAAAGATTTACCGCTGGAGTTCGACTTCCTCTTTTCACAGTCTCAGGCAGAAGTGATCTCTGGGAAGCAGGAAGGTACTGGGCCTTGAGGGGAGCGCTAGTTCACTTCCCAGCCAACCACGACATAGTCTCTCTCAGGGGCATTCAGGATTGCTTTGTAGATCCGATTTTTATTCTGACAATAATTTTCTTGACTCTGCTATATGTTGGGGTGTCGGAAATGTCATGACGCATTTTTGCAACGAAAAACATTGAAAAATACATCATGACTTTTCCGACAACCCAATAGTTTATTTGCCTCTTCTGCATTGGTGTCTGTTTTGGAATGCTGCTTCCAGAAGTCATCAACTGATATCTGTTTTTAACTTGGTGCTAAGTACTGTGTTTTAAAGAATGTGTTAGTACTTAGTGGTGATTCCAAATGGCTCTTTGAGTAGCTAATTATAGTTTTGAAAACATATCTACATTTGGAGTTGTACTGAGTTTGCCAAATTCAAATGTAAAGCAAATTATTAATGTAAGGGGAAGCTTTCATTTCAGGGAGTGATCAGGATGAGGAACTTTTGTTTTGTTATGGGCTTTCCTTTCATTGCACTTACTATGCAGTGTTGACACCTTCCTAAAAACTCACACTCTGGGGTTTGTAGTTTTGGCGTGGGAGTTGAATGTGTGTTCTCATGTGGCCCAATGTGGCCTGTATGATGAATTATATTTCTGTTTCTTGAAAAAAAAAAAAAAAGACCTTGTATGTCTTCTAGTTGCAGTCCACATAAGGGAAAAGACTTCTCTTTTTCAATTTTGACATTGCATTTTTCAGTCCTAAAACTCCCATTTGGTTCTTTTTATATTTTATTTCTTTGCTGAGACTTTCTGCCTTTCCATTCATTGTAAGACTGATCTTATTTCTTGGTTATGTAGCTGCTTTAATATCTTTGATAATTCCAACTTTTCTGTTATATCAGCGTTGGCGTATTTTGACCATCTTTTCCCTTATGAGTTGAGATTTTTCTCATTCTTTGTATACCAAGTAATTTTATATTGTATCCTGGACATTTTGAATATTACATTATGAGACTCTGGGTCTTGTTTCAATCATAAGGAGAATATTGATTTTTTTGTATGTTTGTTTGAGCAGATAGTTGACCTGGTTAGGTTCAGGCCTCAAGTTCTGACCTGCCTTCTGTGGGCTGTGATTCTGTTGGTTCATCTTTAAAAGACTTGGCACTGTTATTTTTTTTCCCATATGTGTGCCAGCCAATGGCCAGTCTGGAACCTGGGCATAGCCCATACCCATAGGTTATCCAGCCCCTAGCTCCATTCTCAAAACCTTTGCTATGTTGCTTAGAGTCAGATCCATGCATATGTAGCTTGAAGGTGAGCCCTGGCGTTCATACCCCACTTGATTCCCTTCTCTCCACGGTCTGGCTCCCTGGGTCTCACTTCCATGGTCCTTTGGTCAGAAAGCCAGGGTTTTAATCTGCCCACTCTGCCATGCATTTATTTCCATGATTGTGTCTGCATCCAGGGCCAAGTGGTGGAGGACAGAGGGGAAAAAAATCAACAGTAAAGATTTGCCCCAACTCTTGAGGCTGCAGCTCCTCTGGTCAGAGAAGGATTCACACCCCTCAGTTTTAGGTACCTGCCTAACCCTCACCTGTGCTGCTGCAGGATTGCCTGGTGGTAGGAGAAATAAAGGAAAAAAGCAAGGGATTTCCCCCCCTCATCTCACCCCTAACTCTCCTTAAACCTTTCTAGACTCTTTCTGCTCTTTGGAACAGAAAGCAAGGTCTTAAAGTTCTTTCTGTCCCCACCTGGTGTGTTCTTTTGTGTTTCAAGCTACTTAGTTCAGGCCTGGTAATATATGAGGGGGAAAAAAATGAGACAGTCATTAGTGATTTGGTGGTTCTTTAAAATCTGATCTCTGTCCCAGTGTGCCCACTATCATTTATTTTCAGAGTCCTCAGAAAGCAGCTCCATACGCTCTATACAGAATTCATACTTGTATTCAGTGGGAACGCAGGGTGGACTATGCTCACTTCATCTTGTCCAGAACCCCAACTCCAAGGCTTACATTTTTTAACATTTGTTTCTACATATAATTCCTAGTCATTGTAGGAAATTTAGAAGATGCAAATCATTTTAAAAGGGAAAAACATCATAAGATAAAATATTTTATTTGATTTAGTTATTTTTTAAGGTAAAAGATTTTAAATTCATGCACTGAGAGTGTGGAGTAAAATACTATTACCACTGTTTTTCTAAGAAAAGGAGAATAAAAGCAACCCTGGGAAGAGGTGTATTCATGGTGTAGCAGAAGAGAATTAAGTGAGGGCTTTTGTATTTCTCTCTTAGGGGTTTATGCATGGATTGGAATCAACTTTGTTTTGGGAAGATTCGACCATGAGGATGGTGAGTAATATTGTCTTCTTATGACAGCTCTTCAACTAAGGGCTGAAGGATTATGTCATAGCCTATCAGTAGTATATAAGTGCTGATGTTGAGTTGTTTTTCTTTCTTTTTTTTTTTTAAAGATTTTTATTGGGGAATTAGGGGATGGGAACAGCGCTGGGGAATTGGGGGAAGGGGAACAGACAAGTTGCTGTCCTTTTGTTCTTCAGTCTAGTTGTGGAGGACGTTGCTTCACTGGCCCAAGTTGGCACCATCATTGTGCTCTTCCCAGGCGAGGCAGATCAGTCGCCGGCTTCTGAACAGTTGCTCATGGTGGCCACTCACGCTGGCTGCTGGCTACACACAGTAGCCCATGGCAACCCACTGCAACAGGGGCTACAGCCTACGCCGTCACCTGCGACTCACGGCAGCCCAGCTCCAGGTTGAGCTGTTGTTCAGCATCTTAGCTGTGGAGGGCAGTGTCACTGGCCCTCATATGTGGGATCCAAACCAGGGCCCTCTGGCGTCCCAAGCCAGCTCTTAACCAATGCGCCACTCGGTCGGCCTGGATTTGATTTTTATTTTTAGATTTTTTTATTGGGGAATTGGGGAAGGGAAACAGATAAGTTGCTGTCCTTTGGTTCTTCGGTCTAGTTGTGGAGGACGTCGCTTCACTGGCCCATGTTGGTATTATAATTGCACTGTTCCCGGCTGAGGCAGTCGGTCGCCGGCCATTGCACGACCACTCACACTGGCTCACGGCAGCTCATGCTGGCTGCCGGCTGCTCACACAGCTCCCAGCCGCTCATGGTAGCTCACAGCAGCCCACTGCAGCCCTACTGCAGCCTACGCCATTACAGGCCACTGATGGCAGCCCAGCTCCAGGTCGAGTTGTTATGTTCACCATCTTAGCTGTAGAAGGCGCAGTATCACTGGCTCATGGTGGGAACCAAGCCGGCAGCCCTGCTGCTCAGAGCTCTCTTTCCCAAGCCAACTCTTAACCAACTGAGCCACTCGGCCGGTCCCCGATTGGATTTTTAAAAGCAAATCCAAGACATACCATTTTACCTTCATGTACTTCAGTATCTATCTCTAATAGATAAGGAGTTTTAAAACAAAACAAAAACATATCCACAATGCCATTTTTATGCTTAAGAAAATTAACCATTCCTAATATGTAATCAATACCCCTCAAATTCCTCGGTAGAGACTTCCCTGATTGTCTCAATATTTATTTGTAGCTGTCTTGTTCAGATCAGAATCTGAACAAGGATCACAAATTTCGTTTGAGATGTCTCTTTTAATCTATTGTATAACAGCTAACCTTCCCCACCCATTCTTTTTTCAAATCATTCATTTAAAAAAAAACAACCAAAAAACAAAAGAACTAGTCGCTTGATAGAATGAATCTGTCACGTTCTAAATTTGGTTGACCCCATCTTTGTGGGGTCTTGAACATGTTTCTCATTCCCCCGTAGGTCCTGTAAACTGTGGATTAGATATAGAAGCTTGATTAGACTCAGATTCAGTTCTTTCCACAAGACTAAATCATAGATGATGCTGTGTTTCCTACTACATCACATGAGGAGTCTGGTTGTGATGTCTAGTTGTCCCACTTTTAGCCGTGTTAATACTGATCAGGTATTCAGGGTTCAGGTATTATCAGCCTAAGCCTGATCTATTTATTATAAAAATTCCTCATTTACTTTTCACCTAATGGTTTAATAGCCCATTATAATCATTGCTTAGATCTGTTTTATTTTTTCACTAGAAGTTGCAAAATGATGATTTTTCTAGTTCTGTCATTCCTTCTGCATTTAACAGCTGGGATTTCTCATATTTAAGATTATAAGGTTATTTAATTTATTAGATTTTATACTTTATATCCTTTTTCTCTTATGCTAAATATTTGTTCCTAAAGATGGTAACATAAATATGTTTTTGCTTTATTCCATAATATGTGTTTAATGGTTTTAAAATAGTATCAATAATATTACCGATAAGACTACTAGAATGTGGTTTAAGATTTTTTTTGTTATTAAGATATATTCTACAAGGGATATGTAGTCAAAATACCATGTTTTAAGTCATTTGAAATAATTCTTCTCTGTGTAATACAGTTAAACTAATTTCTTTCAGCTTGCTTTCAGTTTTTTTAAAGGATTGCTGTTTTTTGGTATTTTTATTCTTTTTGACTTAATTTTGGTTTTCAATTACTTAGACCCCTCTGTTCCTTTATTTATTTCAGAATCAGATGCTGAGGCTCCCCAGGAATCGGCAACAGGACGCAGAAGGACAGTGGGGATACTGGATATGGGAGGAGCCTCTCTCCAAATTGCCTATGAAGTTCCTACCTCAACCTCTGTCCTTCCTCCCAAACAGGTATTTTACCTTTCAGGGAAATCCAGTTGCTAGAAATACCAGTCTTTGTGAAGGAAGGGCACTGTCTTTGGATTTAGACCAACTTGCCTGGGTCCAAATATTTGCTCAGATCCTTGCTAGCTTATGTTTTCTTGAGTAGGCTACCTCTGTGAGCCTTAGTTTCCTCATATGTAAAAAGGGAATAATATCTAACTCATAAAGTTGTGATGATAAAATACCACCGTTTGTGTAAAGCACTTAGCATACTGCCAAGTATATAATAAATGTTTAATATATTTCAGTAGTTATAAGTATACTGCCTATCTCCTAGGGTTGCCTGAGGATTAAACATGACGATGCATATAAATTGCAGAGCACAGTACTTGACACATACTTGTTCATTAAATGTTATTCCCTTTCCCTTACCAATGATTCCATTCTTGTACTTCTAATATTCCTTACCTGAGAAGAATGTAAAGAATGTACTTTGAGAAGAAAGTTTTATCATACAGAGGAAGAAGAAATACAGACACTGGTGAGCATGTATGATGTCCAAAGAATGAGAGGTGTTACACTGCTCCCAAAAGCTTGTAATCTGTCGGTGGAGACAGCCTATGATAACAGGCAAACCTGAGAGTGTGCTATCATTTGGTGTAAGCCAGGGTTTCTTGTCCAATCAGAAGTGTCTCCAGATATTGCCAAATGTCCCTTGGCATGCACAGTCACCATGGCTGAGAACCTGTAGTCTAAACCGAGAGCAGTGGCAGTGTGGGAACAGGCAGAGTCAACTCCATTTGCAAAGGCTTGAATGGGAGCCATGCCAGCTTTGTGGAAGGGACGATATTTACCTTCCTTGGATGATGATGAGTTTTTGCATAATGGAGACTGAAGGATGGCCAGCTGCATGGCGGGGACAGCATGCACAAGGGCACAGGAAGAGCAGCAAAGAGCCCAGAGTGTCCAGGGAACGGTGAATAGCCTATGGCAGTATAGGATTTTAAGTGTGGTAATAGGTAAGGCTGGGAAGATGAGATGAAGTTAAATTGTGAAGAGTCTTGGGCGCCATGCTAGAGGATTTGGCTTTTATATCTATTGATAGTGGGGAACCAGCAAAGGTTTAGGAGTGGGAAGTCATATGGGCCTCAATGTCATCGTCTGTGAAATAATTAAACTCTTAAGGTGTCCTTCCCAGCTCTGAATTTTATGACTATGTTAATTGTGTGGCTGTTATCCAATTAATCTATTTGTTAGGAAAATCATTTCAGTGTTAGTCAGAGAAAGAAAAGTAGGTCAGGGAACCTTGGGTGAGAAGTGGTAAGGGGCTAAACTAGACACTGTTAAGTGGAAATGGAAGGGAGGGGACACATTTCAAGGGATGTTTTGGAGTGAAAAAACAATGTAATGTGGTGGTGTGGGTAGGGAAGGGAGGGATGGCCAGTGATTCTGAGGGCCCAGCTTAGAGAACTAACTGCCCAGTCACTGGGAGACCACAGGGCAAAGGGCAGGGCTGATGCTAAACAAACCAGGATGGTCCGGGTAGTTTGTGTGAGAGCATCTTTCTGGTCTCCAGCTCTGAAGTCCTATAACCAATGTGCTAAATTTCGGGTATGCTGTGTTTGAGATATCTGAGGAACACATGTGTCCAATTATCCAGTAGGACTGTTGGAAATTGGAAATGTGGGTTTGGCATTTAGCTGAGAAGTCGGTGCTAGGGTTGAAGATTTGGGGAACTAGGTTGTGAGATTTTGGGAACTACAATAGGTTGTGAAACTTTTTAGAGTGTATTTGTTAGTATGTATTTAACAAGTAAAATGAAGTCATGGCTCTGATACTAAGGGGTAGATGGCAGGTGGCACTGGGCCTTAAACAAATGATTTTGTGTGTACAGATTTAGAAAGCAGCACTGGTTTAGAAATATACTTGCCAGCAATTGTACCCATAGCAATATAATGGATCTTAAAGATGGATCTTAGTGCTTGATAAAAGAAAGAAGCAGTGAGACATAACACAATAGCACTTCTTCTTCTTTCTTTTTTTTTTTTTTAAAGATTTTATTGGGGAATTGGGGGAGGGGAACAGACAAGTTGCTGTCCTTTCGTTCTTCAGTCTAGTTGTGGAGGATGTCGCTTCACTGGCGCATGTTGGTATTATTATCGCTCTCTTCCTGGGTGAGGCAGATTGGTCGCCGGCCTCTGGACGGCCGCTCACAGCGGCTCACAGCAGCTCACACCGGCTTCCGTCCACTCATGCTGGCTGCCAGCCACTCATGGTAGCTTATGGCAGCCCACTGAAGACCCACTGCAGCCTTCGCTGTCGCCAGTGACTCACGGCAGCCAGCTCCAGGTTGAGCTGTTGTTCACCATCTTAGCTGTAGAGGGTGCAGCATCACTGGCCCTCATGTGGGATCTGAACCGGGCCCTGCTGCTCAGAGCTGACGTCCTAAGCCAACTCCTAGCCAACGCACCACTCAGCCGGCCCACAATAGCACTTCTAAAAACCTACATAATCCTAACTACCTAATGTATTTTTTGTAAAGTTCACAAAGTTGTGCACATTCACAAAATTATGCAGCCACCACTGTTGAATTCCAGGAAGTTTTCATCACCCCAAAAAGAATCCTCATATTCATTATCAGTCACTCATCTGTGCCCTCTCCCCAGCTCTGACAACAGCTAATCTACTTTCTGTCTCCATGGATTCGTGTATTCTGGGTATTTCATATAAATAGAATTATATAATATGTGTCCTTTTGTGACTGGCTTCTTTCACGTAGCAAAATGTTTTCAGGGTTCATCCATGTTGTAGCATGTGTCAGTACTTCAATTCCTTTTTAAGGCTCAATAACATTCCATTGTATGACATGCCACATTTTGCTTATCTCTTCATCAGCTGATGGACATTTAGGTGGTTTCCAGTTTTCAGCTATTTATAGATAATGCTGCTGTGAACAGCAACGTACACATTTTTGGGTATACCTAAGTGTTCAGTTCTCTTGAGCATATATCTAAGAATGGAATTGCTGGGCACAATAGCAGTTTCATAAATTAAAAATAAATACATTCAAAACAATAATCCCATTTGACAATAATACATACAAACAAATATTACACATTAAGCACATTAGAATGGTTGCCTATAGCGAGGAGCAGAAACAGGAGTGGCTGTGAGGATAAAAGGAAGTAAATGAAGAAAACAAAAGTGGGGCTTTGCCGTGATAAGGTGCTATGGACTGGGGAAGATGAGTAATTCAGCCTCTGTACCTGAAGTCAGGAAGGAAAGGAGGGAGGGAGGGAGGGAGAGAAGGAGGGAGAGGAGAAGGAAATAAAGCATATTTTTATTGGAGTTACAATAAAACGGAACTTTCTCAATTCCAAATCTGTCACAGAGAACATTAGGACTTGAATAGTTTTAGAAAAGGTCATAGAATAGATCTCATGATGATCTCCCAGATTCCTTAAATTTACTTTTATCAAAGGATTTTTTTTATGATTATAAAAATAGTACATTCCCATTTTGGAAAATTGGAAAATCAGAAAAGTACATGCAAGAAAACAACCACCTCTGTAATGATTCTACCTTCAGTAGAACTACAGATAGTGTTTTGGTCTGTAATTTGGTATTCAGTCTCTGATTTGTTCTTTTTTGTGCAGTCTTGTCATTTTATGTCTTTGTATAAAATAATACGATGAGGATGAAAGAATGCTACAAGATATTTTCAAGAGTAGTCATAGCTAACAAAGCCTGCTGTATTAGCATTGTCATAGCTTTCTAGAAACCAACCTAAACTAAAATTCCCCTTTTTCTCTTTACATGGCATTGCAGGAAGAAGCTGCAAAGGTCCTGCTGGCTGAATTCAACCTGGGCTGTGATGCACAACACACCGAGCATGTGTATCGGGTTTACGTCACGACCTTTCTGGGTTTTGGGGGCAACTTTGCCCGGCAGCGCTATGAAGACCTTGTGCTAAATGAAACTCTTAGCAAAAACAGGTACATTTGGCATGACATCTGTGTTTCTGAAATAAAATGTCATCAGGTTGCAGATATTAAAAAGCAATATTCATGTCCTACTAAGATACATCCCTACTTCCTCCTCCTTCCCGACCACCCCTGCCAATGGAGTAGCATCTCTTAGAGCAGCAGTTCTCAACCTGTGGGTTGCGACCCCTTTGGGGGTCGAATGACCCTTTTACAGGGGTCGCCTAAGACCATCGGAAAACAAAAAGATATTTACATTACGATTCATAACAGTAGCAAAATTACAGTTATAGAGTAGCAACGAAAATAATTTTATGGTTGGGGGTCACCACAACATGAGGAACTGTATTAAGGGGTCGCGGTATTAGGAAGGTTGAGAACCGCTGTTTAGAGACTCTCCATTAGTCATCCACTGGATCTGGGTGAGAATGCTTTATGATCTTTGTCATCAGGACTCATAAAAAAAGTACAGCAGCTTATTGTGGTGACTTTGTACTGTGTCTCACTTCAGACATCACGAGATTAAGTGAGATTAATTATGTTCATTTTAAATGTGCAGCACAGGTTAGCTCCTAGCAGTTTCTTTTACACGGAAGTGCTCAAGAGGTGTTTGTTGAATTCAAATGGAGCTGCATTACATGCGGGAGTTAGGTTTCATAGTACACTTAACAGATAAAAAAACTTGTATAGTCAAAATTAACTTTTAACTTATTCTATCTCGGTAATTCCAGAATAGCCAGTTTTTCCTCCGGCATGAAACGGATCATTGATTCTTCATTTGAGTAACAGATAAAGTAGTTAGACCATAATGTTCAAACAGTTGTGGGGTTGTTTTTTTTATAGCATTTAAAATTATTTTATCATTGTGCCCATTGAAGGAAAGCATAATACATAGCAGAGTTCTTTTCCACCATAAAATTATTTACCCCCATTTGTTTAGCTAGAAACACCAGTTTGAAGAGATATTGGTATATCCCATTTGTAATAATTTCTCTACAGCAATCAATTGTCTTATGTTGTAAGCATGTTAAAGAAAATATTGTCTCATAAGTCTTTTTTGGGTTTTGTTTCCACTCCTAAGAGTTCAAGGTATTTTGGAGAGTCCTGTTGTCCCAGATGATTGATGAATGCATTAAAGTCAAGCTGTGTGTTTGTCTTCTGAAAAAACCCTTAAATGTTGCCTGGGTTGTGGAGCTCAGATCAGTCCTGCTGGCACAATGACATCTGAGGAACAATTGTTATGAAAGCGTCACACCAGTTTTGTGTTTTCCTTCTTCGTTAGCTGGTCTGCTTCCTTCTCCATTTTCTTCCTTGTTCTGCTGCTCTTTTTTCTCTCTCTGCTCTTATATTTTCTGCTGCCTCAGAACCTGCCAGCCTTCATCATCTTCTTTTCATGTATTGGCATTTTCTTGCCATGTATCTTGAGTCGCCTAATTCAGAAGAGTGATTATTTATCTGATGCAGCTGCTGACCTATTAGAGAAACCTGTGCTTCCTGGGATGTCAAAACCTAAGGGTTCTGTCTTCTCAATAGGGATTTTCTAAGTTTTCTTCATAGCTGGTGTTACTTCCTTAAAATAGGTTCCAGGTGTTCCAAAGCGTTTTGTTGTGTCTCCACATTCCCATTTCCTCCTTCAGCCTTTATACTTGTGGGTGCGTCCTCACCCCAGAAGTCCACTCTTCAACGCCCATCTGTCGAGGAAATGATGAATAATTAACTGCAGTTGACAAAGTTACTTGGTCTCAACTTAATTTCCCTCTTTTGCATGATCTACACATTAATCTCTTCAGGAATGAGAATACTGTTGTTCAGCAACTACAAACTAAGTAATCAGAACGGTGTGATGGCCATGGTGGGAACCAAACTACCCCTCCCCTCCCCACGCAGAGCCAGGCATGCGCTCTGTCACCGTTGCCAGCCGTTGCCACTGCGCCACTGCCATGGTCCCCTCTCAGGAAACTCCCCCAGCCCCTCCCCTCTGCCTCCTCCCGGTTGTGATTTTAAACATTAGAACTACACTCAGCAAGGTGACATATTTGCACTTTTTTTTTTTAAAGCTTTTATTGGGGAACCAGGGAAGGGGAACAGACAAGTTGCTGTCCTTTTGTTCTTCAGTCTAGTTGTGGAGGACATCGCTTCACTGGCCCATGTTGGTATTATCGTTGGACAGCGGCTCACGCCGGCTGCTGGCTGAGCTGCCAGCCACTCACGGTAGCTCATGGCAGCCCACTGCAGCCCTACTGCAGCCTACAACGTCGCCGGCAACTCACTGCAGCCCAGCTCCAGGTGGAGCTGTTGTTCTCCCTCTTAGTTGTAGAGGGTGCAGCATCACTGACCCTCATGTGGGATCCGAACCGCGCTGTCCTGCTGCTCAGAGCTGGTGTCCCAAGCCAACTTATAACCAACGTGCCACTCGGCCGACCCAGATCTTTGTGCTTTTAAGAGGCAAGTGGGAATGAAGACTGGATGGAAAACAGCAGATTCGCACCTCCAGTTTCACTTTATGCTGGGAAATGTACATGTTGACTAAAAGGTGGAACAACATTGATTACTGCCATATTTCTCTCCCTCTTTATTTTTCTTTTCTTCCTGTCTTATTTTTTTGCTAACTTGAATTTGCTTAAGTTAAATGTTCATGTGACTAGACTACATGGAACACTTCATCCTTGTTTCTGGGATGTCTTGTAAAATAATGACAAAGTGTCTGTGAAGCAGGTTCTTAGACCCGGTTTTTTAAGCTAGGTGGTTCTTAGAGGAGATCGAGTCAGTAGTGATGTGTTTTGTGTGTTTTTGTCACTGTGGTAGGTTGCTGGGCCAGAAGACAGGTCTGAGTCCTGACAATCCGTTCCTGGACCCTTGCCTGCCCGTGGGCCTCACAGACGTGGTGGAGAGAAACAGCCAGGTCCTGCATGTCCGGGGCAAAGGAGACTGGGCGACCTGTGTGGCAGTGCTGAGCCCTCTGCTGGCTCGCTCCAACACCAGCCAGGCCTCGCTGAATGGCATCTACCAGTCGCCAATTGACTTCAACAACAGCGAGTTCTATGGCTTCTCCGAGTTTTTTTACTGTACAGAGGATGTGTTGCGCATTGGTGGCCGCTACCACAGGCCAACATTTGTCAAGGCTGCTCAGGTAAATTATTATTATTGTTCTTATTATTTTTATTTTTTATTTTTTATTGGGGAACAGTGTGTTTTTCTAGGACCCATCAGCTCCAAGTCAAGTAGTTGTTTCAATCTAGTTGTGGAAGGCGCATCTCAGTGGCCCATGTGGGGAATCCAACCGCCAACCTTGGTGTTATGAGCACTGCGCTCTAACCAGCTGAGCTAACCGGCCACCCCTCAGGTGAATTATGAATGATAGAGATGGCTTGTGCCCACAGTGGCTGTTCATTGGATGCCTGACTTTGCTCCTAGGCACTGTGTAAAGGGCTTAGCTTGCATGGTCTCACTTGACTTTCACAGGAACCCTCTGAAGCCTCATTTCACAGATGAGGAAGTGTATTTAGATAAGTTGAGGAACCTGCTATGTGATACTGCCTTCTGATTAATTAAGCTTAGGTTCCCAGGGTCTCTATCCTATCACCCAAATTATCACCCAGGTCTAAGGTTGTTGTGGCAGCCAATAGTTTTTCCTCTAACTTACCACATTAAACATTGTTTAAGGTTTGTGGCCCCAAAGTATCATCTTTAGGTATTTTCCCCCTTACTGGGTGTTCCCGTAATGTGCTTTTGGAGATGATGTCACACAGGTGGGTGAGTCTACTTTCGTTTTCTTGGTTTGAGGTCGGAGTGGTATGGGGTCACTCAGAATATTAGAAAGATTTGAAAATGTGCAATGATGGTGAAAGTGTTATTTAAATTTAAAATTCAGAAGAAGTAAAAATTCACTTTGAGCATATATAGGACTTTAGCAACCTGTAGGCCTAAATCATCAGTTACCTGGACAGGTAAACATTCAGCTAGCTTTCTTTAGTTCCCGCTTTAATTTAGATTTGTCTCTTTGAGTTTTTATATATCTCTCTGATCTGTCTCATTTATCAGAGAAGTTTATGGGAAGAATCTGTTCTCTCTTATATTTTTTTATTCTTTCTTTTCTGCTTTTGTATAATTCTCTAGGATTCTCTTGGTGGAAGACTTCCGGTAGAATAGTATCTGCAGTGTGTGTACTGTTCTGTTCCCTAAAGGCAGTCCCTAAGAAGTACTGAGAAAACCTGGATCGCATTTGCTTTTTCCTCTCCAGTCCCCGGGATTACCCTCATACTCCCTTTCCTTTTCTAACGTCCAGGGCTCCCTGTCTGTTCATGGCCTGACTCTTTCCCTCATTTTAAAACTTCTTCAAATTCTATTCCCTTGAACACCAAAGGGTTCAAGTTATTGCTTGCCCAGGTTGCTAGTGGCTTACTTAATATGCTCTCTTTCCCAGGTAAAAGAGATGATTTTGTTCCCTCCCTTTCTTTACTTTGACTCTTATCTTCCCAGTGATACCTTCCCTGGCCGCTCTATCCAAAATTGTAACCCTTCCCAGTATTACCTGTTTCGCTTTCCTGCTTTATTTTTTCTGTGAGCATTTATGTCGCTTAACACACTCTACATATGTACATGTATATGTATGTGTGCCTATTTGGTTATTGTCTGTCTCCCACCAGTAGAATGTAAGCTTCATGAGAAAGGAAGAAATTTCAGCAGATGTTTTTGTCTGTTTTATTCACTGCTGGGCCCCTTTGGCACCTGGAATAGCACCTGGCACATAGTAGATATTCAGGAAATGTTAGTTTACTGAACAAACAAAAGGAACGATTCCTTTGGTGAGAATTACCTCATGGAGGTAGGCTGGGGACAGGTTTTTGGCCGTTCTGTTCCATCTGCTTTACCTGCTCGCGTCGGTCCTATATAGAGTGGAAGGAAGCTGTTCCTGATCCTAACCTCACCCTTCTCTGAAGCCTCAGGGGCTCAGGAGTCATGTCGGGCTGGCTCTGTACTAGACTTAGAGGCGGCAGGAATAAGTAGCATCTCCAGGCCACTCAGTGAACCCAGCAGCCTGACTTCTGGGACATGCCTTGCACAGGACCTGGTGTCATGAATGAATATGCCATTTCTGTTTTCTTTTGTCAGCTAGTAGCCCCCAAGTAACTTTAGAAATGGAACAGCTGTGACTGGGGGTGGGTGGGAAGGGGGTTACAGAGCTTGCCTCCAATTCCATGTTGCATCATTTATCTGTGGTTGTTCCAGGATTACTGTGGAATGGCTTGGTCAGTACTAACTCAGAGATTCAAGAACGGCCTTTTTTCATCACATGCAGATGAGCATCGACTCAAGTAAGTAACTGTTTTTCCCCCCTTAGATGCGGCCTTAAAATGTGGACAGCAGATTATAAGGAAGGAGAGCAAGCAATAGTGCAGAGTGGATTTTATGTTGAAGGAGAATTTGATTATTTCAGATTTTGATTTTTCTGAGAGATAGGGGACAAATAATGAGCCTATTTTAGTGACGCCAAGGAAAACCAGCGTTTACCACAGTTATCCCGAAGTGGTTCAAAATCAAAGTTGTGTGGTTTTGTGGTTTTTTTTTTTTAAACTCTTTATTAAACTATCAAACATGCAGAAAAGTAGAAATAACAGTAACATAAACCCTCATGTAACTACTACCCAGCTTCAACAAATACCAATATTTTGCCAACAAATACCAATAGTTTGGTTTATTGGCCCTCCCATTTTGTAAACATTTTAGTTTAAAAGTTTTTAAACATAAACAAAAATAGTATCATGAACTTCTGTGTACCTATCATCTACCTTCTCTAATAACAGTTATCAACTCCTGGCCAATCTTGTTTCACCTATTTTCCCATCCATAACTTCTCTCTTATCTTAATTGGGCCAAGACTCCCTATAATTACATACATACATATT